CAATTAACGCACAACATAACTACGAAAATGAAATAAATAATTTAAATATCAAACCCAAATTTAAAGTCGGAGATCGCGTTCGTATTTTCAAATATAAAAGCAAATTCGAAAAAGGATACGTTGGATTTTGGACAAACGTATTATATATCGTAGATAAAGTAAACAGAATATCACCTCCAACATATGAATTAATCGATCAAGACAAAGAACAAATCATAGGTAGGTTCTATCAAAACAAACTTCAAAAAACTGACTTTTAAAAATGAATATCTTTCTCGATAAATACGGAACCGATACAACTACAAACTTTCAACTTATGAGATGGGCAAATGAGTTAAATATATCTCCGTTTTATTATTGTATGAGAGATGAAATAAATAATCTCAAATATAAGAAAGGTAAATTTTATGCCATAACAAATATACATGCTTCAGATCAAATAGGAGTTCATCACTCTGCTTTATACAAATAACTTTTATTTTTTCGATTCTTTTGGATTAGAACCCACTGAAGAGATAGTGAAATTAACTAATAAACCAATCAAATGTTCAATATTTCAATTTCAATTACCGGGTCAAAAGTTTTGTGGGCAACTTTCACTATGGGTTTTATATCAGTTGAGTTTAGGAAAACAGTTTGAAAAAATTATAATAAATTTAACTTAATAAAAATGGCGAACAAGTTTGGATTAGGTTCTTTACCTTTAGATACTAAAAAACATAACACTACAGCATGGATAAATAAAGCAAAACCTTACTTTGTAGATCAAATTGGAGATTCCTTACAAGATGATATTGATATGAATAATTTTTCCATAACTAATTTAAAGTTACCAGAAAATGACAATGATGCTGTTCACAAGAAATATTTAATGGAGCAATTAAATTTAATTGAAGTAGATAAAGACTATTTAAAAGAAAGGATAAATGATGTGAAAAAATGTTCAAACGACAAATAAATAATAAAAAAATTATTGATGAAAGTAAACTGAAAGAATTAGATTATATTGATGATACTAAATTACAACAAGAAGTAACAAGTTTAAAAAAATTTTATTCAACAACAATTAGTCAATGTAGTAGATAAAACTCAGTTACAAACTTTAAGTTCATTAATATCTAATTTAGATGATAAGATTACAAAGCAAAAAATAGATCTTAAACAACTAATAGCCAATATTAATCCAGGTATAAGTGAAGACAAATTAACCGCATTAGAAAGTAAACTTAGTGATGATAGTGAAATACAAAAACAAATAGTCGCTATTCAACAACAATTAGTCAATGTAGTAGATAAAACTCAGTTACAAACTTTAAGTTCATTAATATCTAATTTAGATGATAAGATTAAAAACCAAAAAAAAGATCTTAAACAACTAATAGATAATATTAATCCAGGTATAAGTGAAGACAAATTGCAACGGGAATTAACTAAATTTAAAACTGAATTACAAAAAGAAATAACAAATACCGTATACCCTGAAAAGGGATACACACCGAAGGGGTGCGCACTATACATGGTTAAATAATTTTTGAGTTTTTTTCCCCTTCAAATATACCGCGAATCGGTGTTGAGGATCCGCCAGTTTGTCTTCCTTCAATGCCATGTTGTTATGTTTTAAGATCGTTTCGGGAGTTATAACAACTCTTTAGACTTTAATGTATTTTATAAATATTTTGTATTAATATATTTCAAATTACTAAACTGAAATAGGTATATTAATGTGTTATTTTAACGCAAGTAATTTCGTAAAGAGAGACGTTCTACAGCGGTTACAAAATATTATCAAGTATTGCATCAATTTGAATAGCTTACCAGATATACTAGGGTTTTAATATTATCCTTCGTTTTTCCCAAATCATTCATCACAATACACATGGCAAATGAGAAACAAATACCTTTAATACTCTCACAATAGCTTACAGAATCCATGTGGTATTTTCGCGCCTATATAATTGAGCGGGAAAAAGTTCTGAACACAGAATTGAGGACAGTAGTAGAGTTTTTGTAAATCTATTATTCACAGTAGTCCAAACCTACTTGAATAAACTTATTATAAGATTAGGTGAAAAACAACAAGATCCAGTTAATTTGTAACACCACTGATTAATTTTATGAGTACATTCTGAATGGAAACTAGAGGCATGAGATCAAAGAAAGATCAAAGAATACTATGAACACCTGTTGTCCACGAGATCAGTGAATGGTGAATTGGGTGGATCACAGGCACTTGTTTCTATCCATATTAAGTTCTGCTGTAATATGTAGGGATAACAGACATTGCCATTGTTTTTTTTTAAAACAATATTTATTCATGATTTACAATGGATAATTACATGATATGAGCAATGGTTTCAGAAACAAGCCGAAGCTTATACTAATCCGTTACCAATCTATTTAACATTCAAATATACAATTATAATTTATTTACATTTTTATGATATTGTTATGTCAATATAGTGCAGAAAAGTGAAGAAGAGAACAGTGATTTTGGCCTGGGTTCGAGGAAGGAGACAGTGTTCAGATGCTATACATATCTGCTGCGTGATCACCAAAGCTATTTGGGAAAGGTTGGAGTAGTACAAAACATTACACTTGCCATTGCCATTGCCATTGTGTATCAATGATAGAAACAAGTGCCTGTGTTCTTACTTGATCTGGACTATATTTATTGACGACATTCCTTTGAGAATTTTAACCCTTCAACACTTCATCATTTGAAGATAGAAATACAACACTTTTTTTTAACGGAATCGTAAAAGACAGAAATATTAATTTATGTAAATACAGTTTTTGATTATTTAACATATAAATATATTAACAAATGATGGTTAATTTTAAAATGACTTTGGTGATACGTGGAATATGCTTTTAGGAATTTAATATGAGTTAGGACTTAGAAAGCAAAAAAGAATGTGAGGACGATCGTATGTATTCTAACCCTTGCAATATATATCATTGAGCCCTGTTAATCTTTGAGTTTGAGTTAACCTACCGTAATTGAATAATGCGATACCTTCAATGAAAGTGTGTTTTTATATTTATCGATTTGTTTAGCCTTTTAAAACAACATCACTTCTCAATTCTCTATAGGCCAACGACTGAATTGTACAAACAAATGCGTTTATATTATAGATGATATCGTGTCAAATATACGGGATGATAATGGTGTTTGTGATGTGCCAAGTCTGACTTCAAATTTTTCGTAAACAAGGGGTGTGCATTATACACGGGTAAATGGATTTTTCCCAGTTTTAATGGGAAAAGGAAGGGGTGCGCATTATACACAGGTGCGCATTATATTCGGAAATATACGGTATTAAACGACAAATACAAAACATTGATGATAGTGAAATTAAAACTTATATTCAACAACAAATACAAAATATTGATGATAGAGAAATCAAAACCTATATTCAACAACAAATACAAACTAGAACTGTTCTAATAACAGTACTGATGCAGGGCGGGTTACGACATTCAGGTACATACAAAGATAGTCTATTGCAATTACATTGATGTAAATACTTTTCTGCATCTCTAAATGCAAATATCCAAAAGTGCCTGGAGTTTAAAGTATATTGACTAGGAATAAAAGAATGTTTGTCAATTAATAAAGACCAAGTTTCATGAAATCCGGATAAGAAATAAGAAAATTGGTAATGCGCATGCACACAACAAAAATTGGTTATTTCCATTGAATTTATAATTGGTTTATACACATACATAGCAAGTTTGATTAAATTCGGATAAGAAGCAAGAAAGTTTGTAATGCGCATGCGCACAACAAAAATTCAATATTTCCATCAAATTTAGCATTGGATTGTAAACATACATACCAAGTTTGGTGAAATTCGGATAAGAAATAAGAAAGTTGGTAATGCGCATGCGCACAACAAAAATTCAATATTTCCATCAAATTTAGAATTGGATTATACACATACGTACCAATTTTGATGAAATTCGGACAAGAAATAAGAAAGTTGGTAATGCGCATGCGCACAACAAAAATTAATATTTCTATCAAATTTAGAATTGGGTTATACACATACATTCCAAGTTTGATGAAAATCGGTTAATAAATTTGAAAGTTGGCAATGCGCATGCGCACTACGCAAATTCGATATATCCATCAAATTTAGATTTCGATTATACACATGCATACCAAGTTTGATGAAATTCGGATAAGAAATAAGAAAGTTAGTAATGCGCATGCGCAATACGCAAATTCGATATATCCATCAAATTTAGAATTGAATTATACACATACATACCAAGTTTGGTGAAATTTGGATAAAAAATAAGAAAGTTAGGAAATTAAGTGGGGGTATGCCTTTAATGTGCTTGTGTAAGCTTTACTTACAGTATAACAAGGTTCAATCCATCCTAGAACCTATTTAAATAGCTTAAATGGACACAAAACATTTTAAAGAAATATAAAAGGGAGGGTGTCTTTAAAACTACTTAAACTTTGATTTATATTGGGGTTGACAGACAGGTTAATCTAATTAGCCGATTTATCTAATAATAGTCCCATGTTAAGTGAATGGGGTTTTGAATTTGCATGTAAGGCATGCATGTTTTATATCACTGGAAACCTCAGAATCTCTACATTACAAAATCGAAAGAATTATCGCCATATCTCTATTAGGGACTGAGATATAGCACTGAAAAGACTCAAAATGGTCCATTTTTAGACCCCTGTAAAATCGGAAAGAGTTGTCTGACCCCAAAGGTCAAAAGGTCATCAGATAGACAAGGTCACATATTATCATCGTAGTAAATATGAAGGTCATCAAAGGTCAAGGTCATGAGATATACGCATTCAAACTTTGAAAAAAAAACATCCGGTCGTACAAAAAAGGCAAAACCGAAAATCAAAATTATGCTGCCTAAGGATTGTAGACGGACTTGAAACGTATCGTTTGTCACAAAAGTTATGCAAATCAGATGAAAAATGGCCTCTGAATAGCAATTTCTGCAAAATGAGGCAAACCAAAATGGCGGCCAACATGTTACTTCCGGTGCGGATTTTTTTAGTTTAATAAGTTTGTATTAAGACTGGTAATATAATGCATATGTTATTTTTGACATAACTCAATTCCACCGGAAGTGATACCACCGGAAGTACTAACATCGAAACCGGAAGTGATAAAAAAAATTTGAATGTGTACTTTTATGTCTCTATGCTGGCGGTCTACACCACTTAAGTTTCAACTCAATCCGTCTGATAACAAACAAATTTTTCGATTAATTTCGGCGAAAAAAGTATGCAACGAATTTTCGAAAATCGAAAATTTTCAACTGCTATCATTTGTCCTTTGTTACAAGAAATACGATGCAGAAAATCCGCTTACGAACGCCCTGCAAATATTGATGATAGTGTTATTCAACAACAGAATTAATAATGAATTTTTAAAACAGGAAAAAAATATAGCCGCATTAGAAAAGAATCTCAAGGAAGAAAATAAATCATATTATTTCAATCTTCCATTTAGAAATTTGAGAGATGAGAATGAGTCTATTAGTTATAATATTGATAAATCAAGAGAGTCTGAATATAAAAAATATGGATTTACAGCAAATATAAAAGTGTTTTTGGATACAAATTTCCATATCGAAACCCAAAGCTTATTTGATGGTGATTGTCTATCATATTTTTATTTCCAAGGAAAAATTATAATTGAAATTATTTTTCCTATACAGGTAAAAGTTGATTCAATATTCTTCAGACAAAACTCAATATCATCTAATCGTCAATTTAATGCTCGTAAAGTTCTTCAGTTTATCAATGGTACAGAAAATGTAGAAACTAAAGAATTAGAAATTAACGACGAAAACAACAAGGTTAATCACTTATATGAAATTAAAAAGAGTGGAAAATATATAGATAGGTTTAGAATGTTAATCATACCAGATAAAGAAGAAGATGAACTTTCATTGGGTGAATTTGATATGATATTGGAAACGGAAAAATCCACCATCAGTATTATTAGAAATCCAAAACCACAAAATATAGGGGAAACAAGGAGTTACGATTTTTTACGAACATCAACAGACTTTGAATATGTAAAACTATATTTTGTTAATACTGATTTATTTACCTCAATTGATATTCATAAAAGTCAACAAGATAAAAAATTCATAATATTTTCATCAATAATTGAAAGTGAAAAAGTTAGTGGTATATATACTTATACATGTATGATAAAAATCAATATCAAAAAACTAAAATTTTCACCTCATCTGAATAAGATTAATGATTCGAAAGAAGAAACATCTATAGTAACTGTAGAAGTTACTATTCCTAAATCTATAGTAATTTATCCTGGCGAAGTGTTTGAGATAGATTTTTTAAATAAAAAATTATCCATCTTTTGCTTTATCAGAAGTTCACTTGATTTAATTACCTTAAAAATGGAACTCGAAATTAGACAACAACATATGATAGAAAAACAAGCGGAGTTAAAAGAAAAACTAAAACACTTCAACAAATGCAGAAAAACATGGAGTAGAATTGATTCTGTTTTCAAAACACTGAGTGTAGTTCTAACAGTAGGAACAACAGTTGCAACGGCCATAACTGGTGAAATAATGGTTCCAGTAATTAGCCACAATTACAAACTTCATCTTGTGGCTTGATTGCTATAGGTTACACATCAAAACAGAAATCTTATTATAAAAAGAAAACAGAAATTTTAAATACATATCTTAATAAATTATTTATATTTTTCGAAAGATCAAGAGAAGATAAGAACATAAACATGGAAGAATTAGAAGAATTCAATGAAATTTTAGATAAATTTGATAAGGAAATATCAGCATTAAAAGTTAAAAAAAATTCTTAAAAAATAGATAATTAAAAAGTCATAGATAAAAAATATGAATAACATTGAAATTATGGACGATGAAATATTCATAGAAAACGCGCTATTTACCAATCTTATCAAGGTTATTTCTGATACATTTTCAACATTTAAAGGTCAAATTGAAATAGATGGAAAGATAATCGAGCATGGAAATCACAAACAAAATATGAGACTTCTTGGTTTCAATGCCAAAACTTTTCAGAAAATCTTTTCTAATATGGATTTAAAATCTGATGCTTCTGATTGGTATTTTACAGGAAAAATAATTTTACATAAAGACAATTTTAAAGAAATTAAAAGATCAAGAGTTGGTAGAGGAACTGAACTACTTAAAAAGATAAATGAATATAAGGGTAGAAATTGTTATATACCAACAAATGGTAACTGTTTTATCAAATGTGTAAATCATGTTTTGAACAAAGATTTAACAAATGAATTTAAAAACTTCATTATTAATTTTCCAAAAGTGAATAGAAAAGGAGTAATGACAACTGCTAGAATTAATGAATTCAATAAGAAATGTGAAACTTCATTTCAAATTTATACTCTCAAAAATAGAAATTTACGCCCCAGAGATGTAAAGAGAGAATTAGATTGGGTTTATTATTTACATAACTCACATTTCTGTCTCATAAGAAGAAATGAAAAAAGTTTAGGTATTAAAGAAATAAACTAGTGTCCAAAAGAAACGATACCACCTGTTTGCAACGACATAAAAGAAAAACTAAACAATGCAGAAGTTTAGGATTGGTGTTATGCTTTTGAGAAATCCTTTCACAACATCAGTACAAAAATTTCATTTCAATAAAATCTGTACAACCAATATGACAAGCCTTTAAAGATGGGTGGGGTCGAAAAAAGAACATTTCGTTAGAGCACTGATCACAGAAACAACGGGAAATGTCACACCACACGTCACAAAGTCAAGTCAGTAGCGGGTATGTCCACCGTGAGCATCAATACATGCCAGAACACGCCTACGGACTGATGCTGTCAAACGTCTGATGACGTTGGGAGTGATTCGTTGCCATTCCTCGAGGAGACATCGTTCCAAGTCCTGGACGTTGACTGGAGGCACACAGCAAAGTCGGATTTGCCGATCAATGGGTCCCATAAGTGCTCGATGGGATTCATGTCCGGTGAACATGCGGGCCATGGCAAAACCTGTACGTTGGCGTTGGCAAGGAAGTTCTGTGTCAATCTTGACTGTGTGTGGCCATTGCA